ATATATTATGCCTTCCATCCTTAATCATGCTCATTGTTTAGTCAGAATCAACTCATAGCTGACCGTGCAGCTGGTTTTCAGAGGCTGTACATTGCATGAAAGGAAATTGCCCATCATTCTCCCACAAAATAGCCAGTGGATTTGATCCACATGCTTTTGGGTTGGTGGTGCAAGTCCTACCTTCCAGCTGTAGGGGCTCTGTATCATATAGTGTTCCACTGCTCTTTATAAGATTTTCACTGGCCAAAGGTTTTCCAAGTGGATCACCACATCTGCTACCTAGTTTGTTTTTGTTTGGGAGTTTTGCTGAAACCTGTCCAGCAAGAGTGACCTTCCTTGGATTTGAAATATTAGTGGCACAGAATCCAACATCACTGCAACACACAAGCTTCCACAGTATGGGAAAAGGTATGTCAGACAGAAATGGAATATACGTGTATATCTCATATCTCATCACTAGTTCACGTTAACCCCAAGTGAGCAATTTGTTGTTGTCATAAGCCATAGAGTCGGCTGTAACTATGAACAATAACTCTGAACCCTGCTCTATTCTGAGCCTATCACACTGTCTCTAATACACTTGTGCCTGTTACCCCAGTCACTGTGTCAATTTCTCTCATCCAGGGACTTCCTCTCCTATCCTGTTCCTCTACCCTTCCAAGTATGATGTCTTTCTCCAAAGACTGCTCCCTTCTGGCATCATGGCCAAAGTATATAACATGGGCCTCAAAATTCTTGTCTCCAAGGAGCAGTTCTCCAGAGCGGACACGTTAGTTCTCTTTATAGTTCATGGTATGGTCAATGCTCTTCCCCAGCCCTACAACTCAAAGACATTGATTCTTCATCTGTCATCTTCTGTCATTTCCAACTCTCTGATACATATGAAGTCATTATGAAGAAGATGGCCAGAATCAGGTGCACCTTAGTCTCTAGACTGACATCATTGCTCTTTGGCACTCTAGCGAGGTCTTTGACAACAGATTTCCTTAATGCAATTTGGTTTTTATGTTGGTATGTATGTATGTATGCATTTATTTATTTATTTATTTTTTTAATTTCCTGAGTGCTGGTGCTAAGAGAGTTGATTGTGGAACCAAACAAGCTGACATTGTTAACAATCTCCATCTCTTATCCCTCTGTCATGATGCTGCCATTTGACCAGGGGTGAGAATCTTCATTTTCTTGATGTTGAATTTCAGTTCATAATGCAGACTATAGTCCTTGACTCTTTGCAGCAAATGTTTAAGTCCCTCCTCAGTTTGCGCCAGCAGGGTTTGTGTCATCTGCATAATGTAGGTTGTTGATAATTCTTCCTCCAATCCTGATGCCATATTCCTCTTCCCAGCCCTCTGAATGATCTGTTCTGCATATAGATTGAAAAAGTATGGAGACAAATGCCTCCCTGACGCACTCCTTTTCTGATTTTGAACCATGCACTATTTTCTTGCTCTGTTGAGCACAATTAGATGTTCTGAGATTCCTGTTTTCCTCAAGGTTAGCCACAATTTGTTGTGATTCATAAAATCAAATGCCTTTTTTATAGTCAATGAAACATAGACATTCCTCTAGTACTCTCTGCTTTCAGCCAAGATCCATCTGACATTAACAGTGATGTTCTTAGTGCCATGGCCTTTTCTAAACCGAGTTTGTATTTCTGGAAGTTCTCAGCAGATGTACTACTCGAGTCATTTTTGGATGCTCTTCAACAGGATTTTGCTTGTGTGTGATATTAGTGATATGATAATTTGCACTGTCTATCAGATCACCATTTTTTGGAATGGGAGTTAATATATGGATCCCTTCGAGTCAGGTATTTGTCCTCCAGATTTCTTGCAATAGCCTAGTGAGCATCTGGTGAGCAGTACAGAGCTGCATCTGTTTGTTCAGATATGTCAATTGGTATTCTATCAGTTCCTGGGACCTTGTTTTTTGACAATTCTTTCAGAGCATCTTGAACTTCCTTCTTCATCACCATTACCTCTTGAGCTTAAGTTGTTTCATTAAATTCTTCTGTGCCGGCCTATTGTTTTTGGTACAATGATTCTGTGTGCTCCTTTTGTCTCTTTTGATGTTCCCTGGGTCATTCAATATCCTTCCTATAGCATTCTTAAGTATTGCAACTCTAGCTTCAATTTGTTTTTTAGTTCCTTCAGCTTAAGAAATGTTAAGTGAGCTTAGTTTTTTTTGCTTTTCTGACTCCAGCTCTTTGTACAATTCATAATACTTTGCTTTGTCTTCCTGAGCTGCCCTTAGAAATTTTCTATTCACCTCCTTAACTTCCTGATTACTTTCTTTTGCTTTGGCTTCTTGGCATTCTAGTGTAATATTAAAAGCCTCTTCTGACATCCCTCTTGGTCTTTTCTTCCGCTTCTGTCTTTGTAATGATCTTTTGCATTCTTCATGGATGATAATGTTTATATTCTCCCACAGCTCAGATGTACTCAATCTGATTCCTGTGCCTACTACCTTCAGGTGGCGTCTCTGTATAATCTGCATTTATGTTTTTTTTTAATAGAAGGTATTTGCAGTGTATAAATTATTGACTATACAAAATTCTGTCATTTTATCTCCAGCCCCATGTCTGTCACCAGGCTGTTGTTTTCCAACAGTTGATCCTTCTTGTCTTTTCCCAACTTTTGCATTCCACTCACTCTTTACTAGTGCATCCTGGTTACATGTTTATGACTGCAAAAGTTGGTAGAAGTAATATATTTCCTCCTCTTTGGCTCTCTTATTTACTTTAGTTATTATGAATGTTTCTAGATATTTCATTTTATTTCAGTATTTCAGTACATTTTCACAAGTAGTTTTCCAGGGAGGATATATGTTTCCACTTCTTTTCCATGAAGCTGGAGAAAAAGATTTTATTTGAATGAACAAATTTTAAGACCTCTCAAAGAGATGGTTATAGAACAACATTCTCCTTCTCCTTATTATGGAAAGCTCAGAGATTGAAAGCAAATCATACAAGAACTGTGACACTGGGATTATTGTTTATAGGAAAGAAACCAGCAATTACATGAATAATTTTTTATGTAAGTGGCTGGAGGAGGAAAGAGTTTTAGCTACATAAGATTATACGGTTAACTAAATAGCACAGCACATTTCCAAACGCATGTGTTACATTATTTATGGGTTCTACTGAAAGGTTTTGAGATGGTAAGCAATACTATTTAAGTGTTTAGTATATTAATTGATATTTTATGATTTTATATTAATAAAAAGAAAACTCTTAACTTTTATTGTTCTTGGTGTGTTTGTGTGGTGTTTTTTTTTAATTCTGGCATTTTAATGTTCTGGTTTTATTCTTTTTTCCTTTTTAACTCATGACATTTTAAAAGCTTTTGTATAATGATCATCCTTCTTTTTTTTTAAGACTTTGCAGCTTCTTATAGCAGGTGAATCACTGAAGAAATTTTGTTTTATTGTGTTAAACATTGGTGTACCTTTCCTTTTTGACAGACAACTTTCATGTCATGATGTAATGTATTATTTCTATTTTAAATAATAATCTATTGTATCTTAAAACTATATTAATAGAGTCAGCCTCTCAGCTGTTAAAGGACAATTATGATCTTTAAAAACTATTGGGAAATACATTTCTTTTTAAAAAGTTTTAAACCTGCCATTCTGTTATTTACTTTAACTTTTGTGATTACAAACAGTATTTATTGCTATGAAACGAGTGTAGGCATCATAAGGATAGCCAAATCTGATCTCTGCTAACTCTCCCCGTGCATACTGTCCCCATCAATAACATCCATTGTACTCAGCAATTCCTATAAGGTCTGACATGGTCTCCCACACTCCTCCATCTACTTCTACTAATTCCCAAACTGATATCACTCTTCTGCTGGATCTGAAATCTGTTGCTCTGACTCCATAGATCTCAAAGAACCCTAATTATGGTTATGGAGTTTATTAGGGAAGTTAACATGTTACAATTTAGATTGGAAGCAGAATGTAATTCCTTAGTCCAGCCAGTGTGTCCATTGTGTTCACAGGTCCCTTGATGTCACAGATTGGCCTCAAAGATTAGGTCATTGTTAAAAAATTCTCTTCGTCATACCAATTATTACCTCTTGCCTTAGTCCTCCAGCAAGCTTTAGGGAAAGGCTCTGGCTCTGTTGTTCAGCAGTCTCAAGTTAGGTCTGTCCCCTGTAGATCTCTGGTTTTCTGTTGAGGCGGCTTCTGTTCTCATGTAGGCCCTAATCTAACAGGCGCAGAACTTTCTGACCATGAAAGGACCTCCAGGACCTCTTGCTTCCTTGCTGCTTCCCGCTTCCCCACTGTTGCTACTAAATCGACTCATTTTAATTTAGTGAGATGGGAAAAATGGACCAATTCCCTAATGATTACTTTATACACTTTGTATTTTAAGGTCCCTCCTGCTGGAGTGATGAAAGCTAGTATCAATGATTAGGAAAGCCATTTTGAACAGTAAATCCTTGACTCCACACATAGGCTTATTTGAACAGTTTTATTTGATGTTGATAACCTAATAAATTATATAAAAATGTCTAATGGTGTCTATTTTTATAGTAGTGCTGTGATGTCTATTTATTCTGATATCATTGGTTAAAAGTTAAATAATTATGCTTCATTTCTGAAAGATGCAAAATATCTAAATGTTATATTTTTCTACATGTATGAAAACCAAAGATTTATCAGCGGATTGAAAAAAAAATTCTTAAATTTCCTTTTATTAGTTTCTTATTGTAAGTATTAGTAAATTCTTTTCCTTATAGCTATTTACATCTTAAGACAAAATGATGCAATTTGTACAACCATTTTGAATAGCTGAAATGAAAAAAAAATATACAGATTTCTCTGGCTAGTAGAAACAAACATGAGTAACAGTAGCTGGTTTTAAAAAAACATATGTTAATGAAGAAATTTTACTAAAATGTGTTTTATATATGTTATGGGTTTTATCTCTTATGTGATGTGTACACTGTCTTTAAATATTTGAGATTAATTTATAGCTATCCTTCTAACAGGTGTCTCAATGCTTGTACCTACTGCAAAACTAAACATGCCAGAGGAAATTTGGCCAGTTACTCCATCGATGAACTAGTAGATAGAGCCAAACAATCTTTTCAAGGTAAGCATTTCCAGAATTACACACAAATTTAATCACCTTAGTAAATTATGTTAATTTTCTAATAACATTTCAATTCAGGCATATTATTTCACTTCTTCAGAGTTTGCAAATGTCCCAGCTTATCTAATAGAATCTGTTACCATGTTACCATCTACCAGTAAAAGAGTGGCTCTGGTAGAGAGGCCTAATGGGAATAATTCTTGGTGTCAAGTAGCCAGCTACTTCTGCCATTTGGTGGGAAATGAGATTGGTTCTTAGTAAATAGTGAAAGTCACACTTGCCTTTTCGTGTACCTTCTGAACTACAGATGTGTACATTTGCTTTGTTCCTAATATTCTTTTGTAACATTGATGTGTTTTCACACCCACCTTGAGCCAAGCTATTGTGTCAGAATCTTGTTAGTGGGTAGTTGCTGGCATTACTAAGTAGCCTGAAGTGCTAATTTTTGAGTACTCCACAGTCTGAAACTCAGGAAGTGTGAGTTCCAAATACAGCTCTTTAGTGGCTCAACAAGAATCTGCGATGTTCCTTTTAGTAAACATTTGCAGGTCTTTCGTTGACTTATTTATAGCTCTCAACATTTTTACCCCAACTTTTCATTCTTAGCTTCCTTTCTTCCTCCATGTACATTCGAGCAGAACTGAGATGCAAATAGAAGGAAGTGCATTGATTGGTGCCCATATTTTATTTTAGAGCTAGATTACAGGCAGTCTTCCAGTTATAGACATCTAATTTACAGACAACTGCTATAAATTGAAAGAGGAAGAATAAACCTGAATTTTCACAATTTGGGCCACTCATCATGGTAACTGGGATGAGAAAAATTATGGGTTTAGCTCCTGTAATGGGAGACTAGGTCTAAGAAGTGAGATTGGTTATTGTTAGGACTTCTGAGAACTGTACGCCTTCACAGTGGGTGGACACCATCTTTGAGATTCTTCAGTCATGACTGAACTGATTGAAAGTATATTTTCAAGTGAGTGAACCATCATCTACAAATTCTTCACCACAACTCCTATAAGTTACTTTCCATTCAACTTTTAAATTGTGGAAAAGACTTAGTATCTTTTCTTATACTAAAGTAAGATTCTGACACACCTCCAGGTAACAAGCCCCAAGGCGGAGCCTAAACCGGTTGGGGAGGAACAATCAAGAGACAGAGGGAAGCAGCGTGGGTCCAAGCTGAGACCAAGGTGTGTCAAAGGCAATGAGATTGGCACAGGATAGAGCAGGGTTTAGGGCTGTTGTACATAGGGTCGCTATGAGTCGCAAACGACTTGACGGCACATAACAACAACAACAACAAAGTAAGATTCAGTTGTAGTTGTTGTTGTTGCTATTCAGTTGTGCTGTTGAGTTATTTGAGACTCATAGTGACCCTATGTACAACAGCTTTGCACTCTGCTCTATCCTGAGCCGATCTCACTGTCTCTGACACATCTACCTCTATTACTCCAGTTACTGTGTCAATCCATCTCATCTGTGGTCTTCCTCTCCTGTGCATGATGTCCTTCTCCAAGATTCATTAAGAACCATATTAAATTTCCCTACAAATTCTTAAAGACATGCTTCAACTTGGGTCTCATTCTTAACCTGGGGACTGCCTGTGTTGTCTGAGTAAACTTGGTGACTGCCTTTCTGAAGTATTGCTATTCAAAGGATTTTTCTCATACAAATATAATGGATGGTAACCTAACCTATCTGAAAAATGTTAATACTATAGACAGATCTGGCATTCTCCTCTTGCTAATATATTTGATAATAATGGGGATACTAAACACATCTGATCTATTTACGAAGAAACTGTAAATTAAAAAGCAAATTTTTTTAAATTGAGTTCTTTCCCCCAACATTGTACATTTTAACCTATGGCTACATGTAACTTTAATCTACTCTAATTTGAAAATTTATTTGAGCACTGTACAGATGTAAAAATTACCTTGTTAGGAGTGAATGCATTTGATTATCCTAACTCTCTAATATCTATTTTCATCTTTAAAATATGTTAATAATTTGATGTGATCTCCTTGTACCTTTGTATGGATACATCTTTGTGTTACATGTGACTTGAGAAAAAAATATAGGAGCAAATATATATTTTTACAGATGTGATAATCCCGCACATAGCAGGGTTCGATAGGGAGAGAAATGGATATTGCTTATGGGGAAAATGATAGTATATATTGTTGTTGTGTAACACTGAGTCAAAGTCAACCCATAGCTGACCCTCCAGTGGATTACCAGAGTCAGTTAATCACACAGGAGGAGATTGCCCATCCTTCTCTCATGGAGCAGCCCGTGGACTCAAACCACTTTCCTCTAGGATTGCAGCACAGCTTCTCACAGGCCATCAGAGATTGTTTAAAAGTGCAGCCTTCTTTGTAAACGGATTGTAAAATCTGCAATTTTCCTTCCCACCTCTTCCATTTATCTTTAGAAATGCTTCCCTGAGCAGCAGAGATGCAGCGCTTTGCTTCCTTGAATTTTGGTTAGTTATTAGTTAACATTATCAGAAGAGTCTTAGATGAAGTACAGCTCATATAGTCAACATGCTGCTTCAAAGCAAGGCAGACTGTGTCTGCCTCAAGATAGACCAGTTTCTAGAAAAAGATAACCATGTTTGGTAACATAGATGGTCAGGGAAATCCTCTATGGCACACAGATTGATACAATAAGTGCAAAAGTGGGCCTGGTTCTTTTAGCAGGAACATCCTTTGATGTTTTATTCTGTTTAATGTAAAGTCACTGTGAGTTGGAGCCTACTTGACAGCAACTAATAATTGCAATAGCATTATCATCTCCAAGTGAGTCATTTCAGTTAGGTTGCATAATCAGAAGTCAGCAGGGATTTAGAGGCTATTTGTAAAGCTAATGTTAGATTTATTTAGTAGTATTATCTTCATCATCTTAAGGCGCTTTGGTAGTATAGTGGTAAGGAGTTATGCTGCTGACTCTAAGGCTTGTAGTTCAAATTCACCGAGTGCTCTGTAGGAGAAAGATGAACATTTTCCTGGTGATTTACTGCTCTGAAAAGCCACCGGAGGGGCAGCTTTGGGTTGGTTCTAACTTGATGGTCCACAGTGGCAGCAGCAGCAGCTCTGGGGATGCAGCCTGCAGAGCTGCCCTGCTAACCCACAGGGTACATCTCTGGTGGTTTGACCATGAGTAAGTACGTGGGCACAAGATGGACAGTCTCCTTTTGTGCAATATACAGCTTCAGAAACCCACTGAAGGGTTGGCTATGAATCCGTTCCAACTCTACGACAGTGAGTTTATCACAATCAGCAGCAGAGAGGTGGCTTTTCCCCCCAGTCATCGAATGTTTGCCATGTGAAGTTCTATTGTTTCAAGTTTGAAGTTATATCTGTGTATCAGAGTGAAAACTGAGTGCTGATTTCTGGACAGGTAAGCTCTATTTCATGGAGCCTCTCCTGTGTTCTCAGTAACCTTCCATTTTACCAAACATGATGCCTGATTCTAGCAATTGTTCTTTCCAGGTGACATGTCCAAATGGAAGACATAGTCTCTTTATCCTTGCTTCTACTGAACAGTCTGACTGTACTCATTTGGTTGTTGTGTGTTTGTATTGTTGTGTTAGGTGCTGTTGAGTTGAATATAACTCATAGCGATCCTATGAGCATAAGATCTGATCCCTGTTCTAACTTGTGGCATCCTCACACTTTCTGACACACGAGAGCCCATTGCAGCAGTCACCGTGTCAATCCACTTGGTAGAGGGTCTTCTACTTCTTTGCCGACCCTCCACCCTTCTTAACAGCATGCTCTTCTTCAAGAAATAATCCCTCCTAGCAACATGCCCAACGTATGTGAGGTGAAGCCTCATCATTCTTGCCTCCAAAGAGCACTCTAACTGCACCTTCTGCAAAACATATCTGTTCTTCTTGCCGTCCATGGGATATTCAGTGCTCTTCTCCAACACCATAGTTCAAAGGCATCAATTCTTCTTCTGTCATTCTTATTCATTGTCTAGTTCTCAGATGCATAGTAAAGTGATTGGAAAGACTATGGCCTGAATCAGACGTACCTTAGTCCTCAAACTGACACCATTACTCCTAAATAATTTGGAGAGGTCCCTAACTGCAGATTTTCCCAGTGCAAAGCATCTTCTGTTTCCTGACTGCTGGTACCAAGGGTGTTAATTGTGGATCCAAGCAAGATGAAGCTGTTGACAGTTTCAGTCTCCTCTCCATCCAACAAACTTTGTGATGTGTGGTACTGGTTTTAAAAAGTTGTAGTCACAACTTGGAAAACTATATTTAGAAAATTGTCAAGTGATGCTCTTTGCTTTCAGTAGAATTTGAATCTGGTATAATTCTTTTGTTCTTACTAGCTTTATGACTTCAACAAAGAAACAAATCTGTACAAGTTATAGTTTTACTTGTCTTCAAACTCAAACCCAATGTTGTCCAGTTGCTGAGTTGGAACCAACCATAGTTGACTCTTCTGCAGATTATCAGGATCTTATAAATCACCCAGAACAAAGTTGCCCATCTTTTTCCCCAACACACTGCTTGCAGATTCGAATCATAGAGTTGCTGCATTTGGGCTACCAGTGCAACTCCCCACACCACCAGAAATTCCTTTTCCTATCTCAGTAACATACTTAATGTTCCTTCTTGTGAGAGTTAGAAATGAAATATTTGAAGAAATTGATTTTGACAATAGTATAAAGGAGACATATTATTTAAACTAAAGGAATTTAGAAGGAATCATGGAACAGAAATCTTATTTCAGGTAAGACTATTGAAGCATCTATAATAAAGACATTAATGTCTACAATTAAATTATTCTTATTTTTGGTTCTAAAATATGTTTTATGAAAAATCTCTGTATAGATAGAAACTATACAGCATAGCAATTGCCTTTCATTTTCCAAATTTGAGAAATGTAAATTTATACTACAAATGGCCTTTCCTCCTATAGATGATACTGATCTTTAAGCTCAATTTTACAAGTAAGATAGCCTGATCTTCCTTTTTC